CTTTTTTCAGCTTTATCATATACGAGACCGTAGGATATTTACAAATAATTAAAAAATAATAAACTGTGATTGACGTCAATGGCTGGTATCAGTTAAAAACGATTCACATATCTCCAACGGGAAGCTGTACAGTCACGCTGCCGATATCTACATCCGGCTGACAGAAATCGGAGGCAACATTATTTTTTTCTCCCAGTGATCAACTGGAGAGAACTTTCCTTTTCCCTGGCCGTTTTTTCAAGTAATGTAAAAATCTCGAAAGACCTTAAAGAAAATGACATTGTAGCTGGATTTTTTTCGCGTTTAAATGGGGATTTTAACAACTATCTTGCAATATTTCAAATGTGCGAGTGAATTTCCATAAGACCCTTCAACACAAGCTTTGGTGTGAGTAGGTATTTTACACAGAACTTTCGACACAATCGATAGTCGGAAAAGGGTGCGATAAAATATGTTCTTATGGGTAAAATACAGTTTAAACATATGGTACAAAAAAAAGAAGACTATGACAATTCTCGAGAATACTTTCGGGTGGTTCTCTGCAACGAAAAAAAAAAAGAATGAGTCAGTTAAGCTCGGGAGGGATTTGCCTGCAAATAGTCGGATCTTACAGTTTTTGGTACTAGAAGAACGATGCGCATGTTAAAATTTCACGAAAAATTGTCTCCGCGGAGATATAACGCTTCCTTTTTAGGGGTCCTCGAAAACGTGTTTGAACCGACCGCCGTGAATCTCCGCATCTCCGCGTCATAAACGGGAAGATGGCGGCGACGAAACCAACCTGCTTACTACCGCCAAGCCGCCGTCGTTGACATCACGGTTTCTCGTTTGAGGTTAAGTAAGTTCTGTGTGAATGTTTCATATCCTACATACACCTGTATCGCATTCTGATTGAAAAGCTTAGAGAATTAAGAACAATGGATATGAATCTCAAACAAAGTAACCGACATAACCTCCAATTGACCAACAAAATCATACCGCCAACGTTGCCGCCGTGTATTCTTCCTCTACGCATTCCGCCGCCATATTGATCGTGACGTGTAAAAAAAATTGCTGAACGGTAGTTCTGTTATTTTATCATTTCAAATAAAGGTAAACTTTAAGAACGCCTCTGTGTTATTTGCAAAACGAAAATTACATTTTCACAAACCAAATTTGAGACCAACTTGCGGAGACCTCCAACTCGCCCCCCCCCAAACTTTCAATACTCGCCGTTTAAGAACAGCTGCAGTACCGATTTCGCTTAAAACCTAGGACACGTGAGAAATTAGTGTAGATCGGACTTTTTGGATATAACTAATTTATGCCAAATTTCGTAAAAATCCATAGATAAACAGCCATTTTACGAATGATAGCCACCATATTTTGTTATTATAATTTTTTTATATTCGATTTAAAAATAGGACAAATTAAACATCAAATTCGTAGTCCTCAGTATTAAATAACCCCACATTCAAAATTTCGTGAAAGTCCGTCGTGAAAGCATTTTTTTTAAATGTAGATATCAAAAGAATCGGATTTAGAAAAAAAATTACAAACCAGAAAAGCGTCTTTTAGCAACACAAGAGACAGCACCTTTAATTACCTAGTCGAGTTAAGAGAGAAACCAAACACGCAAGTTGGCATGGAGCGGCGCGGCGCGGCGCAGAGAGCAATGATGGTGAGGACTTGAGATGAAAAGGAGAAGCCCTGAGCGCGGCGCACGGTGAATCGAGTCAATGAGTGAGGTCGGACAAAATTTGAAAACTTTAAACGCTTATAACTCCGTTTTTACAAAAATCTGATGTTCTGCAAATGGTTCCATTGGTTTTCTCGTGAAATTTTCTTCCAGTATCACCCCTTGAACGTTAAATGTGACGAATTTAACATAAACATCAAAAATTTCATGTCCAACCTCTCTAATTGACTCAATCTACTGTGCGGCGGTCAGCATGTAACACATATCAGCAACTATTGCGCCAAACACAATGCGGTCAGCGCGGCGCGGCGCGGCGGCGGAAGTTAAAATTAGAGTGCCTATACATATAGGGAGAGTATGGACATGTCGAAAATTTTGAGTTTAGGTGATGGAGCTCTCAGACCCCAAAAGGTTAGGCAATCTATGAACTCAAATTATCCAAAGTGATTTATAATCACAATTGTTGGGAACTGTCGTTGGTAAAGCACGTATTTGACTTGGTTTTCGCATAAACTTACTCATTTTCTCGGAAGAATGCTTACTTATGAATTTTCTTGTCCATTTTCGTTTGATATTGGAGTCTAGAGATTGACAGTGACATTTTTCGTTTTCAAAGGTTACCTACCCTTTTGGGCCCTTAGAGATACTTATTTCGAGTTGTCCATACTCTCCCTATACGAGGTTATCCAAAAGTCACCTACCACCCCTGTAACTTTTTTCCTAATCGAGATAGAAGTTTAAAACTTCGGCAATGTTCCTCGGTCTAAAGTGGCATCCTTTTGGTCCCCCTAAAATTTTAGGGGCGGCCCCCCTTAAGGGGGGCGGGGGCTCACTTTTTTTTCAAATGGCAACCCCTCTTTTGTGATACCCCATTCGAAAGATAAAAAAAGGAAATTTTTGGCGCAAACCACAGGTCAAAATGTTGATTTTTAACAAAATGGCGGTCGGTCAATGTTCAAAATGGCGGAAATTTGGCATCTCCGGTTTTTATCGGCGGATTGGTCTGAAACTCAGAACACTAAGGTTTTTCGGGGAGAGAAAAACGACTCTGGCATTAGTTTTCTAGAAAAGTCAGTCCTTTCCAAAATGACGGCTTAGAGCGGGAAGTGGATATTTAGGCTGCTTATCCTTCAAAGACATTGAATCACGTAGACCGTGCGTCCGGCTCGGTTTAGTACAGGCGGAGTGAAGCAAGTCTCTCGGAGCCCCATGATGGGCGGGCGGGGAAGGGGAGAGAGCGTGTGTCCCAAGCACTCGTAGAGACTGCAGAGAGGCAATGGAGAATTCATGCCCGCGCTCGGTTTTTCACAAATATCTCGTTTAGAGTCCATTTTCAGACAAAATTCCTAGGAAAAAAAAGTTTTAGAACACATAATTTTACACCCGAATTGCATTGTTTCATTTTTCCGAAATAATTATTAACCGAGGAAAAAAGCCTCACAATCCGACGAAAATTCACTGGAGCCGCTACTGCGCATGCGCAGATGTGCGCAATTGGGACACACGAACTCATCGATGCGGGTTGGTGCCACCACTCATCGCATGCGAATTTTTCAAAGTTGTCTCGCCTTCCGTAACACGGGATGCACGGTCTACGTGATTCAATGTTTTTGTTATCCTTGGATTTGTATGAGAGTCAGGGGCGTAACTAGGAAATTTCTCTGGGGAGGGGGGACATGGGACCACCTCTCGTGGTGAAGAGAGCGGGGGGTGAGGAATGGAGGATCCCGTTTTTCTGGGGGGGGGGGGGCACGAGGTTTCTGGAGGGCCAGGCCCCCCCCAGGACCCCCCTAGCTACGCCCATGGTGAGAGTTGCTATCCGGGGGTATTTCGGCACGAGAAGAACGAATCTTTCATTGGATCATTGAAATTCCGAAAAACTTTAAAATGGCGGCGAAAAAATGACGGAAAATCCATATCACGGCTTTTTACCGATGGATTTGCACGAAAGTCGATATTCTGGTGGTTTTTGGCTCGAAAAAAATTAATATTTCATTAGATTTTTATAAATACTAAATACTTCAAAAATGGCGGTGGAAAAATCGGTGAGGGATGGGTAGGGGGGGTCTAAACTCTAGAACCCCCCCCCCCTCCTAACCCGGCTCGCCCTCCAGAGTCTAGAGCGCGAGCGCCTTTGGCGCTCCTTGGTGCCCTATGCGGCCGCACAACTCGCCCTACCCAAAGACCGGGCCTGGAAATAAAAATGGGAAACTTTTCACACTAAACTCTTCAGAAATTCAAAAACCACGAAGATCTAGAAACTTCCATGAGCCAACGAGCCCTGAAAGATAAGCCTATAGTTGGTGCATGGAAACATGGAACAGGAGAACCCAATCGTCGGTTTAGTTCACTAGACTTCCTGCCAGGCACCGCTGATGTCGCTGCTAATTGGAGTGTCCTCCGGACCGTCAGCTACGCTATAGCCCTCGTCCCACGATCAAATGAACTCATCAAACAAGTCGGTCATTATGAGTTCACGAATGACGTTTCCAATGCTCACGCTGGGCATTGGATGTTCTCCCAGTAAAGTGTAAAGTCTCAAAATACGTACTTCAAATTAATTTTTTTAAATTATAAGGGTTCGAAAAAATGAATGATCATTTAGGTATTCTTTTGTAACCACCACAGTCCTTTTCTTTAATTATTGTCCCACTTTGATTTTTGTTGCCATCCTGAAGTTTTGTGACGTCAGGCGGGTACCACTTTTGCCAGGCGACTACAACGAATCTGTAGCGCACATTTCAAATCTTCGCCTGCTCTCATCAAGATGAAGCGGAGGAGGACGCGAAGCATTGTTTGATAAGCGAGATGACGATGAGATGTAAATTAACCGTCACATTCCTTCCCATAGAGAAAAAAAGGAGGTGTTTGCATCTTGAGGTTTGTTTACCCTGTGACGTAGGTCGCCACAACCTGGCCAGCGAAATGCGGAATTCGGAATATGAAAAACGGACCATAATGTCCGATTTTTTTACTTAAATCAACTCATTATATAATTTCAAGCACTTTTTATAGAATGACTTTTTTCCTTAAATTACACCATCTCCAAGAAAATCGACAGGATAAACGTCGCTGTACCGACCTACGTCATCAAATCATCAAAAAAATTCCAAGATGCCCGAAATGCAAACACCTCCTTTTTTTCTTCATAATTCCTTCCTAGAAATGTGCCTGTCAAAATTTTCGACTGATCAGGCCATTTCGATTCGCCAGCGGAAATGAAATCTGGTCCGTTCCACCAAATTGTTGAAAGTTTCAAGCTTTCAGCATCTGTTCCTCTCGAAATCAGATCTGCGGGATTGTCCTTCGTTGGCACATAGTGCTAAGCAGCTTTCAAGGCTGTTGTCGTCTCTTGAATCTTCTTGATGCGATTAGAAACAAAAGTTTGCCATTTACTTGAATTAGAGTTGTTGATCCAATGGAGAACTGTCGTTGAATCTGTCCAAAGTACAATTTTTTGAGGCTTTGATTGTACTGCTTCATTGACTTTACACATCAGATCAGACAGGAGCACAGCTGCCGCTAATTCTAGACGAGGGATAGTATGAGCTTTCCTGCTTGGCGCCACTCTTGACTTAGAACAAATTAAGCTTGATTGGAATTCTGTGCTTGATTGCGGATTTATTGACGTAGAGGCATAAATACAAGCTCCATACCCTTTCTGAGATGCGTCAGAAAAGCCATGAAAAATAGGAGCACAGTCTCTATGATTCGTGTAAACACGGCGGGGTATGGTGATTGGTTCCAAAAATGTTAGATCCGCTCTTATCTTGTTCCACTCTTGAAGTATGTCAATGGACACTGGCTGGTCCCAATTTTTCGTTTGCTCGAGCCAAATTTTCTGCATTAAAAATTTTGCCTTTACTATTATTGGACTAACTAGTCCGAGGGGGTCAAACAATTTGGATATGTCAGACAATATTGTCCGTTTGGAAAATGCACCACTTTTGTTGAACTCAGGCGATGATTTGAAGAAAAAGTAGTCTTCTTTCGGCTTCCACCCCACTCCGAGCGCTTTTGATTCTTCACTGCTGTCGAAGTAAAACGGGTCCGTTCTTGGCATTTCTGTAGTTAAGACAGCAGGATCGCTAGATTGCCGTTTGCGCAGGTTTAATCCGTAGGGTTCAAGTATTTCCTCCGATTCTTCTTTTAGTGTTCTGGCCGACTCGCTATCGTTTGCACCTCCTAAAAAATCATCGACATAAAACTGTTTCAAGAGTATGTTTGCCGTCTTGGGGAACTTCGGTTTGCCTCTAATGGCAGCTTCCTTCAGACTTCGTGTTGCCAGTAATGATGCCGGTCCAGTCCCATAAGTCACTGTGTTTAATCTGTATATTTTTACGGGTTCTTTTGGATTCTTTCTCCACAGAATTCGTTGCAAATCTCTTTGTGAGGGATGAATCCACGTTTGACGGTACATTTTTGTGATATCGCCGACTACAGCTACTGGAAACTCTCTGAATCTCAAAAGGATCTCAAAGAGCGTGTCTTGGACAGAAGGGCCAACACTTAAAATGTCATTCAAAGATTTGTTTGATGAGGATTTTGCAGATGCATTGAATACCACTCTTAATTTTGTCGTTAGCGAATTTTGTCGCAAAACTCCTAAATGCGGAATATAATATGCTGGGAAGTTGGCCGCTTCCGAATCCGAGACTTCGCTCATGTGTCCTAATTCTTCATATTCAGTTAAAAAATCACAATACATTTTCTTCAATACTGGATTTTTTTCTAATTTTCTCTCCAATAAATACAATCTTCTCAAAGCCAATCTTTTTGAATCTCCTAGCACAGTCGGATCTTCCCTCAGAGGTAAACGGACGATGAATTTTCCATCTGTCCCGATAGTAGTCGTGTTGGCGTACAAGATTTCACATTCCTGCTTTCCACATTTGTCGGATTCTAGGAATCCATTCTCTATATCCCAAAATTGGGCCATTGTTTTGTTGAGGATTGATTCTTTTACGAATCCCGCAAACCTTCTCGAGTGTGCTGATTCTTTGGACTTCACTTCTTGATGGTCCGTTGTCGGGGAGCCGCCTACAACCCATCCAAAAATAGTTTTTTGCAAGCGCGGACAATCCTTATTGGCCGGTATAAAATCAGGCAACAGAGCGTTCCAAAAAACATTTGAGCCTAAAATCAAATCGACAGAGCTGAGTTGAGTAAAAACTTTACAACACTGTATAGTTTTTAGTTGCTAAGTGATTTTCTCCCTGCTGTTCTGTGTATGCTGTTGATATATAAAAAGTTATTGCGATTCAGTTTGGTTTCCTCCGGTATTTGAGATTATTTATTTACTGATTAGTTTAGCTATTGAAAATAGCTCCATTTGGTGACCTCGACGTGATTATATACTCGAAATCTCTAGTCAAAGTGAAAAATAATAAGGAATTAGAGTGAAGATGAAATGTTTGTAATTGAGATAACCTAAAAAAAATAAGAGAGTAAAAAGTAGACGTTGCGTTTAACACTTTGACAAGAGCATTTCTTACTAATTTATTATTGAGGATGCAGTGAGCGGTTTTCGCCTCCATCCGATAATAATATGAATGCAGTGAGCGGTTTTCACCTCCATTCAATAATAATATGAATGCAGTGAGCGGTTTTCGCCTCCATTCAATAATAATATGAATGCAGTGAGCGGTTTTCGCCTCCATTCAATAATAATATGAATGCAGTGAGCGGTTTTCGCCTCCATTCCCGATGTGAACTCATGAATTAAGCTTGGATAGAAATAAGATTGCAGTGAGCGATATTTTCGCCTCCATTCTTATCCTTGCAATACTTGTGTAAGACCTGGGCCTAGGCTTCTGATTCGATCGGACNAAAAAAAAAAAAAAAAAAAAAACGCATTGCTAGGTACATTGTTGCCAGGCAAGCTTGATGATGGATTAATGTCATTTAGACTGCACAATTTGATAATTAAATAAATAATCTCAAATACCGGAGGAAACCAAACTGAATCGCAATAACTTTTTATATATCAACAGCATACACAGAACAGCAGGGAGAAAATCACTTAGCAACTAAAAACTATACAGTGTTGTAAAGTTTTTACATTATCCCCCCTTAAAAAATGTATACAGATTGAATATCATTAAAAATTTGAAAATTTTGAAGTAATAAATGTGAAAAGGTAAAAGTAATAATTTGAAAATTTTGAAATTGAAATTTTATCAGTAAAAACTGTGTGTGTGTTTTTTTTTTTAAGCACATTAAATTTAAGTTAGTTATCACTTAACGGTAGTACACAAACTTCAGTGATGGCTCTCACTAGTGTGGATGTTGCTGTTTTCAATGTAACTACTCTTGTGATGCCATCTGATCCTGGGTGAAGTTTTTGTATTCTTGCTAGTTTCCAAAACATCGGGGGACAGTGTCTATCCTTTATTACGACTAACGATTCTATTTTCGGAGATTCGTTTTTTGAGTGCCACTTGGAAAATGTTTGAATGTGTTGGAGATACTCCCTTTGCCATTTCTTCCAAAATATGTTGAATCCTTCCTGTATTGCCTCATACGCCTGTAGAATTTTTGTAGAGTGCTTTGTAGGTGTGTTATCAGGATAAGATGTGAGAGGTCTTCCTATTAAAAAATGACCTGGCGTCAATACGTCAAACTCTTCAGGGGCGCTGGACAAGGGTACCAAAGGTCTTGAATTGAGCACAGCTTCAATTTGAGGGACAAGCTGCGTTAATTGCTGTAAATTAAATATTCTTGCTCTTATTACTTTATACAATTGCGATTTGAATATTTTTATTGCTGACTCCCAAAGTCCACCATGATGAGGAGAATTGGGAGGGTTGAATTTCCATTCTATCATATTTTCTGTCATGTATTTTTGGATATCTGGATCCTTTGTTAGTGAATCAAACTGTTTTCGAAGGTGATTGCTTGCTCCTAAAAATGTTCTACCGTTATCCGAGAAAATTTTTGTAGGTAATCCTCTTCTTGCTACAAATATTTTAAATGCAGAAATGAACGCTTTTGAAGATAAATCAGAAACCACTTCAAGATGAACTGCTTTCGACACGTAGCATACAAAAATTATGACATATATGTCCGCAACACATTAGCGTTTTTTCTGGATGATGCTTTTACGCTCAACGCTCCGGTGTAATCAATACCCACCCTTGAAAACGGCTTCGCTTGTGTCACCCTTGACGTTGGTAACGGCGCCATTATTTGTGAGCACTGTTTTGGATTAGTCCTTGCGCACTTCATGCAGCTGTTTACAGTTTTCTTTGTTTCTGTTGGGCCATTTAAGGGCCAGTATTCTCGCCGTACGTGTGCTAGCAAGGTTTGTGGCGGTGCATGTAAAAGTTTGAGGTGTTCTTGATGAAATAACAGCCTTGTAAACCTGTGCTTTGCTGGCAACAGAATTTGATGTTTTTGTGAGAATGTTAGTTCAGAATTTATCAAACGGCCTCCAACTCTCAAAATTCCGTCTTTATCCAAAAAGGGGTGCAGCGATCTAATACTGCTTGAAGGGAGAACCATTCCAGACTTTTTAGCCAGGTACATTATTTCTTGAGAAAATGCTTCTCTCTGAATATAGCGCACGCAAAGGTTTCTTGACTTTTCTATTTCTACTAAGGACGGTAGTTCTAACTGACTCTTATTCATCTTCTTTTTGATGTTATCTTTTCTTGAGCCTTTGATTGCATTTTTGCAACGGTTAATAAACCTTAATAGATATGCTAGAATTCGTAGTATCTTGTTCAAGCTGGAAAATTTGTTCAAAAGAGTTGTAACTTCATCAGGCGTTTTTATCAGAGCTGAACAAAGCATGATTTCTTCAGTGCCTATAAAGGGCCGTTTGTAACAAAAGATACGAATGTTGGCAATATATAAGAAATGATGTAATATATGAAATATTCAAGATATATATGAAATTTTGAAATATATATATACAAAACTGTCGCAATATATAAGATATGTGTCAATGTTTAAGAAATCGACTCCAAAATATATGGCAAAAATCGTGCAATATATAAGAAATGTGTCAATATATAAGAAATCGACTTCACAATGAATATGGCGAAATTCGTGCGATATACAGGACTTGGGGGATGTTCTTAGGTCAAAGGGAGCTACTTTCTGGCCCCCTAAAATTTTCCGGGGAACCCTTAAGGGGGAGGGGGGATAGAAACCAATTATTTTTTCAATTGAGAAGACTGCCTTTGTTGAAGCTCGTTCGAAAAAGCATCGAAAAAGGAAACTTTTCGGGTAAACCAGAAGTCAATATCTCAAACCGTTTCAAAATGGCGTTCGGTTACAATTCTAGATGGCCGAAAATTGACACCGGTTGTTTGTCAAT